CTGTTTTTTTCCTTCTTGAGTTTCTGCTTTTTTTCATTCTCATCTCTGTTGAAAATTGAGATGAAATACTCATGTGGAAACTTGAGTTCATCACAAGTTCTAGATAGCAATTTTTGCTTAGCTTTTTTTAAGGCCATTCATTATAAGGAGGCAAATAAGATCCAAAATGTGTTGCTTTCTGCTGGAAAATTGACATCCTTTCATGGCAGAAAATACCAGAGCCCTGTCCCGAAAGATATCGTAGCCCTGTGCTCATAAAAGAGACTCTGCAGGGGGCAATTGCAGAGATGGATGGTAGCAGGATGGTTATACAGAGACCAGTGACTGCTTTATTATCGTGAATAAAATGTTCAGGCTTTTCTTGTCAGAAAACACAGCATAGGTTATATTAGTCAATTAACCTGGTAACCTGAATAGCTGTTTTTCTTTCGTGTGAGAGCCTGTGCTACTGCATGAAAAGGTTTTCCTCAGTTCTTCTGGCAGTTTTTCTCCCATCAGTAGCACACTATTCATTTTGGATTATCCGTTACTCAATGTGTATGACTTTCAAGGATCACTGGTATGAAACACTGCATTTCTGCATCGTTTGCTCTTGGATCTGCACCTCAAGTCCTGGGCACTACGGTATGAGCAGCCTTGGTGGTCCCTCATCCTCCCTGCTGTTTTTCTCCTCCACTACAGACCGTCTGTTGAGTTTGTTTGTCAGGTTCTCTTAGTGCCTGGTTGCACCAAACCCTTCAGGTGTTGTTTCAACGCTTCCCATTCTATGATTACTTTAACTTGTGATTTTTTTGGAAGGAGTTTTTCAACTGATAGTGGAGGAAAAAACCCAAACCAATGCAAATGAAAGTTTTGTAGGTTCTCACAGTTTGAGGTTACTCAAATATTAAAGGCCAGTGGTGTGTTCCAACACATGCTTTTTGATGTGTTTTTATTGTAAGCCTGTCAAATGTTTTGCCTTTAAAATCCTCTTCAGACCTTGGTGATTTAAAATATTCCCAGGTTCTCCTATTAATTGTGTGATCTAGAAACCAAAGGTTTACTTCAAAGAGTATTGAGGTTTATTATTTTAAATCTCAGAAAGCCAATCATTAATAGTGAAGGTAGGCCAGGTCCTGATGTTAACTGGTGCTGATTTCTGATGACGTGCTCAACATCTTAGCTAGGGAAATGCCACAATTTCTCCTTTACAACATCATAAAATCTTTTAATTAAAATCTTGACACACCAAACAAATATTGAAGGATATATACATGCACAGGTTAAACATGCAGAGTGCATGCCTTGGGGGACAGTGTGACATTCCGGTTACAAAGCAATTATTTTGCAAATTCATTCTTAATTTGAGGTGAGAATTGGTTTTGTAACATGACTTACGCTATATCAGAAACTGGTGTTAGGAGAAGGATGTTCTCCCTTAGGCGTTTCCTCCTTCGGTTGCAGCTTGGACCTTTGGTTTTACCTGGCTTGGCCACTGTTACACTGAGAGTCGGGTGGCTTTGGGTCAGCACCAAAAGCAATGGCTTTCCGTGGCCAGTTCAGCAAATGAGGGCAGTAACATTGCTGTTGGCTTTGCTTTTCCCATTGTTCATGCTGTAGCTCGCAGCGCTGCTCAGGGGTTTATTTCTTGAAGCTGCTATTGACTTCAGTAGGAGTCATGTTGCCAAATTGCACGTTTTCTTTAGTAAACTAAGCTTCCTTCGAAGAGCTAATAGCTTTTAGTTTGTGAGTCTCTTGGACATCTTCATCAGGACAGCTTGTTCTTTGATTTTATAGCCATTAAACAAAGCGCTTTATGATAGCTGAAGGGGACAATTGCAGGAACAACAACCCAGCAATCTGTTTCACACTTGCTTTAGTCTGCAATCTGCTGGTGTGCTTTAAATATTCGAAAACTCCTCGTGTTCTTTTACCCAAGTGTGAGTTACACACAAGTTTGCTTGCAAATGCTTAGTACAGCTCCGTTTGTGTGAATTTGTTGGGTTTTTTGCTTTGTGACAGTATCTACAATCTGCTCCGAAATGCTTTTTTTTTGCCTTTTTTTTTTTTTCTTTTTTTCAGAAAGTAAGCAAATTTTTGCCACTTGCCTTCTACGGCAGTGAAATATTGTATTTTTTTAATTAGACTGAGAACGATACAAGCTTATATACCCCCTCCAAACTTTGTTACATCTCCCATCACACCTTCCTGCCACCTTGTCTGAACCCCAAGCTTACAGAGAGTCCTCCAGTTTTCTGCACAAAAGAAAAAAAAACCCAAAACTAAAAGATGCCTCAGCAAAGACCAGAGAAGGTTTATGAGTTCAAGAAAATGGCAACATAATTAGTTTTGTTAAAACGAATTACACACTGGATATCAGCATCTTCCTTTTGCCTGTGTGCTGTGTTCCCTTCTGCTGTGCTGGGTGGGGGTTATTCAGGGCACGATGCATTTTGTGGTGTTTTCTTTAGCAGTTTTTAAGTGCTGTAAATGATTGGTTGGGGCTTGGACTGTCAAATTGCTCAGAATTAATGGGGCAATGTGGGTGGTGGTGGTGGTGGGAAGTATAGAGGGCATTTGGTGGTACCTCAATCTAGTTTAAAGGTAGAGCAGCTAGGTAGTAATGCTAAATGTGTAAAGCTGTCTACAAGTGGTTTAGGCAGTTGCTGCACTTAAGGGCAAGGCTGCTGGTTTTTTTTATGTGATGGAAAGCATATGCCTTATTAAATCAGGGCAGCGAGTCACATCAGACCCATTGCTTCTGGGAATTAGGGTTATGGCTTCAGCATCCACTTATAGGTTGTGTAGCTTGCTGTTAGTATTTGAGATTAGCTGCTGAAGCCAAAAAGAAGCATGTCCGTGGCTTAGCTAAAATGGAAATGCTGTTTCCAGCCCAGCCACATAGGAACTGTCTTTTTTTTTTGTGCTGAAAAAAGAGAGCTGCATCATAATGCTTAAAAGTGCTTAAGAGTACAATAAAAAGATGTCTTGTGTCATGAAGGCTTGCAGAGATTTACTTGAGAAAAGGTTTTCTATTTTAATAAAATATATTGCAACAAGTACATGGTTGCAGTTTGATACATTTGCTGCATTCAGAAAGGAAACAAACAATAAAAAAGATGATTATTCAATAGACGCCTGACAGCATTTTGCTAGTGCTGTTATAAAAAATATCAAATTCTTTCTTACAGTAGTTACATACTGCTGCTAGTTTAATTTTAAAATGGTTCCCACAAATCCTAGCGAGTTCTCTCATGCCCCAGACAGGTGATGACAAACCACCAGGATGTCACAGCTTATAAAGTAAATAACTGCTTTATGGAGACTTAAGCAGATGCGTTTCCCCTCATAAACAAGTCGGGCTCAGGGTATACGTGTAGCTTTACCTGCAATAACCTGTTAAGTTGAAGTAATGTGAATATTTATAATTATCTGTCTGTACCCTTAGGCCTGTTAAAACACTGGGAGGTTATTTTTCCATATTGGGTGAACTGGCCGAGGGAAACAGCTGCGGTGCTGGCACGCCTGCAGTGGAGCCGGGCGATGGTGGTGAAAAGGGCTTTTTTCTTGAGCTTTTGTGATGGTGGGAGAGGCGAGGGCAGCGGCAGGGAGCCGGCAGCTCGCACCGGGGTGGCTGAGGAGGCAGGCACAGAGACTGCAGCCACCCAGGTCTCTGGCTGCAGGGAGTGCTTTAACCTCCCGTGGGTAATGGATGGTAGAAGGGATGACAGCTGTGTGAGGTGCGACCAGTTAGGTCATCTACTCAGCCTGGCAGCAGGATGAAAAGAGGAAGTAGAAAGGCTGCGGAGCATCAGGGAGTGTGAGAATCATATTGGTGGAATCAGGCTCTGACTGCCCCAAGAGAAAAAACAGAAGAGCCACCAAAAAAACCCTGAGCTGAAGGAGACGTGTTTCCCTCTTCCTGCCCAGACCCAAGACAAAAGTGGACAAAAGGAGAACTGTGCAGGGAGGCAGGTCCGTGCTAGTGGTGCCAAGCAAACCCCTTCTCTGCCCACCTCCCCTAACCAGGTGCCTCTCTACAATAGGTATGAGGCTCTGGAGGAGGTAGGACAGCCCACGGATTATATGGAAGAGGGTTTGACTACACCAGAAGAGTTGCCAGGACCGGCAAGGCCTGTCCTCTGTTTAAAAAACACCTGCACAAGGAAGATGAGGCAGGTTATAGTTGTAGGTGACTCCCTTTTTAGGGGAACAGAGTGCCCAATATGCTGGGCAGACGCTCTTCTTAGGGAAGTCTGCTGCTTCCCTGGGGGCCAGGTCAGAAGAAACACCCAGGAAGTTCCCAGATTCTCAGAAAATCACCAGGAAACTCCCCAGCCTGATTCAGCCTTCGGACTACTACCCACTGTTGCTCTTTCACATGGGTGGCAATGAGGTGGCAACACATAGCCCAGGAGTAATTAAAAGAGACTTCAGGGCATTGGGAGGGCTAATGAAGGAATCTTTTGAGGTGCAGGTTATCTTTTCTTCTGTTCTCCCAGTTACAGGCAGGGACTCTGAAGGACAAACATGTACAGTCCGTCAATGCATGGCTCTGTGGCTGGTGTCACCAACATAATTCTGGGTATTTCATTAATGGGATGGCCTGCACGGCACCAGGGTTGCTGATGTCAGATGGGGTTCATCTTTCTCAAAGGGGGAAGAGGGTTTTAGCTCATGAGCTAGCAGGGCTCATTGCCCGAGCTTTAAACTTAGCTTGTTGGGTGAGACACTGGAACAGGTTGCCCAGGGAAGTTGTGGATGCCCCATCCCTGGAAGTGCTCAAGGCCAGGCTGGATGGGGCTTTGAGCAACCTGGTCTGGTGGGAGGTGTCCCTGCCCATGGCAGGGGGGTTGAACTAGATGATATTTAAGGTCCCTTCCAACAGTAACCATTCTATGATTCTATGATTCATATTCATTGATATCCCTTCATACTGAGTAAAACCTCCCAGATACATGTTTTTTTCATCTTTGTGTTGGAACAATGTGATAATAATATTTTTCTGTTTATTAAATTAGCAACTACTCCGTGAGATGCAACAGATGGCAAGTCGCCCCTTCGCCTCCATCAACGTTGCCTTAGAAACAGATGAAGAGCCGCCAGATCTCATTGGGGGAAGCATAAAGGTGAGAGCTGGTGCTTTAGGATAGTCTTCACCATAATTAATCATGGATGTTTGTTTTAAACTGTGCTTAACGCAATAATCCCAAATCCTCTGTTTGTTATATACCTGCAAGAAACTTTAAGTCCAGAAGGTTCAACAGATACTGTTTTTATTTGCTTTTATCCCTTTAGGTATGCATTTACAACTTTTGGGCTGGTTTAGATAAAAGTTATACTATTTGTAGGGTATGAGATTTTGTGTTTGCCTTGTTATTTTTTATGCCTTGTAATAGAAGAGAATGTGGCTTCACACAGTAGAACGTTTGGCTAGAAATAACTATAGGTGCTGCAAATAGAAATAATTTTCTCTGTGGTATGTCAAAGCAAACAAGAATATAATCATGTCTGTGTGCTGTAGTAGTGTTAACATATTTCTGATTATAAATATATGTTCAAATACATCTTGTGATGCGCAAATAGGAGTCTGGAGAAGGGCTGGCACCAGGCTGGCATGTTCTTAGACACAACACATTGTATTTTTAGGAAAATCATATTTTAAAGGAGAGTAATGAATTAAAAGATCTTTTTAATGTGATGCTTTGACTAGCAGACTTGTGTACAAAAAGAAAAATTAAGAACCTGAGAACACTGAGTATCTTCCTTTCCTGTCTAAGATAGCTGTTTTACTTTATTTAGAATTCAGTTTTTTGAAAATCTTCCTTATTAGTCCCGGCACAAATTTTCTCACTTTCTATTACTGTGACAAGAAAGGAGGTTATGCTTTTCTATGAAAAATGTGTGTATTTTAGTTATTGTAAAGCTCATTTCAACAATTTAACTGGAGAACTTCAGTTTGGTGAGTAATAATATTTAAGTCTTGGCCGCAATTAAGATTGCCTGTATAGCTTTAGCTCTTCCTTATTTATGTGTGAATATAGTCTTTCATGGCAAATTGTGACAATTTTTCCACCTGATTGGAGTCTTGCAGCATGTTCTGGGTGGACACTGTGTAGAAGAAGCTTTTCAATATATTGTCTAAGTTCCGTGATTTGTTCTGGTTATTTACTGTGATCCATCCAAACCTTTGGTCCCAAGTTTGAATGATTCCTGTGATTGCCCCAGGTTTGAGTGCTTCATGAATAAATTGTTACCTTTCTCTGAATTGTGGGATTATTGTCCCTGTTATGCAGACATGAACCTTGGAGTGTAGTGAAAATAAAGTGAAATTTGCAAAGGCACTCAGCAATTTGGGGTCATTGAGTGACTGGGCAACTAAGCTGACCTGTCTCTGGGACATCTCCTTGGAGGCTCTTGAGTGGTTCTGCTCCCCATTGACTTTCATTTGATGCCAGATCATTCAGGTGTTCAGAGTTTTTACAATTTCGGCACTTGTGTTATGAGGATGGAAGGCATTGGAAGTCATTAGCTGCTAATAGCTCGCCGAGACTTGCAATTACATGCTTGTAAAATTGAATTGTCACTCAACAGATTAGAATGGGCCTTTTTTTCATTGCTTCATTGAAGAAGCCATGGGATGTGTATGGGTGTTCCCATTGTGCCGGGGGTGGATTTGTAAGGCTGTAGCTTGGCTGCTGATGGTTTTGGGTTGCAGTCTGTCTGTCTGGGAGCAATTCCCTTCCCGTCTCTTCATTTTCTGGAAATAAGCTAACTAAAAGTGCCTCTCCTTTAGGATCATGCTAGAACAAAGCTGTCCCAAACTTTTTGATGTCTCTAACAAGTTTGTCTGCCGTCAAAAACTACAGAGAAGATAGTAAACTTTGGATCTCTTATGTTCTGATTAGTGTGTTATTTCTCCTCTTGTTCAGCTGGCAGTGCTTTTACCTTTTTCATTTGGGCTTTGTTGTTCGCTTTCTCCTCCATACCTCTCTGCTTTCTGTTTTCTTCTCAGTCTCTTCTATGATTATAGGAATGTTGAACTCTTCTCTTTTGAAGTGCTTCCATGGACGGCACTGCAGACAGGATTTCATCTTTCTCTCACTTGTAGCTACACCTCCTTGCTTTCCCGTGTCTGCCGTCATCTTCCATATCTCACTTGTCTGACCTCCTTGGGTTACTCAAGAACGGATGGAGAAGCCAATTTTAAGCATAATAAGTAAGACTGTGGACAGATGTCCTTTTTCAGACCCAGAAATTGTTACCAACTGTTAATTGCGCTCTGTGCTGATAACTCATACAAATGTGTCTAAATCCCCTTCAAGCACAAATGAGATGTTCTGATTCAGGCGAATTGCACAAACCTTGTACAGTAACCTGAAGCCAAGTAGGGAACGTGGACATGGACTGTTGTGCCAGCAGGTAACTTCATCTGCTGGAAGATCTCAGTACAGAGCAAGGATACTTTTCCATGACAGAAGAGCTGCTGAATTTGGGGGGATGGGGTTGTATAGTTTTTTATCATCTTGGAGTATTTGAATGGAGGATAAAAGTACATATACAAGTCTGGAATGCTGCCACAAAGTTGAAATTGCATGGAGAGGAGAAGAGGTTCAAAAAGCTTGCAGTTTTTGAGCAACTTGAGGAATGACGCTTCTGACATAGTCTGGGTGGTTGGATGTTGCATATAAATGAATTTAAATAGAAGTGAAAAAGCAGTCTCAATATGGGGTCAGCCTTGGTTTTTCTCCTTATCCCTTTTGCTACCTGCATGAGAAAAAAGGCTCTTCACAGGAAGGAGCTGCAGGAAGATGGGCTGGGCTGACACAGAATTGTAGAACTGCATTTTGCATTTGTGTTTTGTCTGTTCTGTAGTTATTAGCTAAGAAGAGAGTGAAGAGAAATATTGCTATGTTGTTGGACTGTAAGCTATTCTCCGGTTGCTCGGCTTTTTGCTGTGTCAAAATTAGAGAGCCTTCATTTTAATGCAAGAATTCCAGACTTAGGTTATCACAAATGCATTGATGTTTTTCTTTCCCCACGTGAATCAAAGCCTTTGGTTAATAACGATTTTATTTGAGGGTTACAAAGGAGAAGTGGAAAATGGGACGTCTTGTCTGCAAGAGATTAATTTCCTTTTCCATTGTGCATAGCCAATTGGCAGCCAGCGTCAAGCTAGTTCCATCCTAAGCTAATGTTTTCCAGCTGGACAGTATTAGAACCGTGTTTTCAATTAGTATTTTTCCTGGGGTACTTAGAAGTAATAGAAAGTGATTTACCTGCAGGGAAACTATTCATATTGCAGTCTGCAGCTAGGCAACACATAACTAGCTGCTTTGGTTTATTTCCCACTCAACAGATACCCAGTGGATCACAAATCTACCACTAAATTTGCTTAGTTATTACAAAATCTATTGGCTTTTCTCAGCAGCTTTTTGTGTGTTCTGAGGTGCTGCCTATTGCAATTTTTTTTCTAAGAGTATTTAACATCCCTGGGTATCTGGGACTAATCCAAGTGTCTGAACTGGTGTTACTGCAACTAAGACTTTTTTAGGTCTTGTTATCTAATTAATCTAAGTCTTGTAGTCCTCTGCAATGATTTTTAGAAGAAACTTTCCTGAAAGAATTTCGAAAATTTGTAATTTTGACATTGATTTCCAAGTATCTTGAAGTTGGAAAAGGCATGAAACTACGGCTTGTAGATTCTTGGGAAAAACACATACACAGCGTATTAAGCAAATGCTTAGCTTGAGCAAAACTCTTACAGCATCAACAAGAAAATTGTTGCATTAGAAAAATTATCCTTAAGTTGGAAAAAAAATCATCTTGGAAGCTTTTAGAGGATTTGAAAAATACCCTTGTAAACCAGAGCATTTGCTTCGTAGAGCTAGTCCGTAGAGGGACCTTTGCTGTGCTGTGTTTAAGGATCCAACATGCGAAGGCAGTGCTGAGAGGTGATTATTTTTGCACCTGTGATCACCAGGATGTCCACATCTATAGTTGCCTAAATGGAGTGAGAAGAGTATTTGGTGAGCAAAATCCTTCTGAAGTTCATTTAGTATGTTCTGTACCTTCATGCAGACGTGCATTTAATTCTGCTGTGTTAAGCTTCTGAGGGCAAAATAGCTTCATTGCAAATCCTTAATCAGAGATCAGCTCACCAAGCTGTCTGATTCCTTAAAAATAGCAGAAAAACTGATGGAAAATAGCATCTTACTCTAGTAATTAGTTTGCTTTGTTATGGAAGAAAGTGCTGTTGAGTGGTTTAAAGACTGCCAGAAGGTTCCATCTGTTCAAGAAGTACAGAGATGAAGTGGTGGGCTGATTTAGGAGTGGGTAAGGGATACCACAGATTTGTATTTTCAGACTACTTGTATTTCGCATCTGAGTGGTGCCCTTGTGAAATTCCTTTTACGTTGCAGTGAAGTTGCAACCATCAGTAATGAGCAGAGAAGTGAGAAGTTAGAAATCCTTGTGCCACAGAGCACAATTTGGGGAAGTTGCATGGGTACCATTGCAGTGAGGAGTGATTTTAAATGAAGCATCCTCCAGTTTCCAGTGCTTCCACAGGGTGACTTAATCTGAATTATTACATGTAGCTCTGAGCCCTGCTACGTTGGGCTGTTTTGTGCAGTGAGATAAGTTCAGTGAAGAACCGCTGAGGGCCAAGGAACTGATGGTTTTTAGGGCTGTTACCCTTTTCTGGTTGTCGCTCTTGGCAATTCATTTCCCTGTTAGTTCACGTGTTACTGACCCATTATTAGTCCGTCAAATTTGCTGATGGACCAGCTTCTGTGACCCCCTCCCAACTCACTTCACTTGAAATGAGCTGGGTTAGCATAAGCACGGTGAGCACAAAGTCTCCTACTTTGCCGTGTCACCAAGCAGAGATTGAGCGTCCTCTTGCAAGCAGGCAGATTAGGAGGGATAGCGGGCATGAGCCGTGGTGTACAAAAGCAGTCTTAAGCAGAAATGAGCAGCTATCAAGATGCATTGGAGTGGGACAGAACAGGTTAGGGCTTTTCAGAGCTGGTGTAAATAAGCTGAAAGGGCAAGTCATTCATTATCTTCAAAAGGATAGAGGAAGGTTGGAGGAAGGGGATGAAATTGGGGGGGGGGGAACAGAAAC